AAAACATGTATTATTAACACAGCTGCCACCGACATTTCATCGGCGAGGAATAAAGAGAAAATGGTTTGACATGAAGTTAAAAACTAAAAATTGTTAAAAATCTGCAGACAGGCTGTCATTTTGACAGATCAGAACTCTGAGGGTGATCCCCCCTAACTTTTAAAGCCCCTCTAACCTCCTGAAGCTATATCATATATGTTAACTATATATACATATATATGATCCTTAGCCATGAGCCATATGATCCTGGTGATTATATTTATGCTTCAGAAATGAAAAAAGTGGTGTTCACTTTTGCTCCTCCGCCACTACAGATGTGTTTTGCAAACTTGGCACTAGACAGTCTTCCTTTTTATTGTAAAACGTGACTTGTTTGTCCACTTTTCTCTGCTGTAACCATGCTCACTCCTGTCCACTGCTTCAGACATTTTTTCCAAAAGTTTTGAAAGTCTTCTACTTTTAATTGGTAGTTGTCAAACCAACTTCCAGGTGCATTACTGCCACCTACAGAACTGGAGTGTGGAATAGTAACACTCACCCAGTCACTGACCCAGCTGTGTCTGCTCCTGGGCATTTCACACAGCTTTGTGACTAGAGCCAACTAATGGACACTTAAAGGCTTTGCCACCTATTTGCATTAGCATCTGTTGCTCCAAAATCTCTGTATTCTTCAGCATTTATTGACTGTCCACCTTTCAGACACATCCTTGGGAGAATATCAGCAGTCCCTCAGGTAAAAAAAATCATCAAGATATTACCAATTTGTGGGGTCTAATGAAAAAGTAGTGAAAGAGTAGTGTAATGAGTTACTTTTGACAGGGAGTGATAAGTAAAGTAATAATATTAATTTTGAAAGGAGTAATGAGTAACATATTATATTTTTTGAGTAACAAGCTCAAAACTGTCAGAAATATAATCAAGGCAACTATTATTCAGACCAAACTTTAATACTTATGTAGCTGTTAAACCTGTAATCCATAAGATTTCAGTCTAATGGCAAACAAACTACTCTATTCTTATTAAACACAAAGGATGGTCCTGTGTATTCTTGCTCATGGCTCCTCCAGCAGGCTCCTTGCGCCTCAGATCTAATATAAGAGGCTTGTAACATCCTAGGTGAATTGGAATAACTTCTGGGTTGACTGAGGGCATTGGAGCAATCATATATAAGACTTGGGATGTACTTAGAGAGATGCAAATCTCATCCTCTGCTCTCACCATTCTCCTTCCTGTTGTTTTGTTCATATGTGAAACTGGTCCATGTAAAACATAAAACAATTAAAGTAATAATTCTATAATCCAACAAACAGGTTGCGTGTGAGTGCATGGGTTTGTGTTAGGTTGGTCATGACACAGTTTTGACTTTCTGTAGACTCTGTAAACCTACACCTAATTTGCATAATACCTAACAGCTGGTAAATGGATAGGGCGGTTACACCTGTCTATGCACCTGTCCCCCTGTGTGTGTCTGTGTGTTTGTATTGTGTGAGTGTGTAAATGACACAGTACTTTACTTTACTTTACCCACCTGTTCAAACATTCTTGTGAATGTTTGTCAACCAAGACGATGAATATGTACCCAGGATATTGTGAAACTTATTTGAATATCTTTTAGAGAAAAACATGTATTTATTTTGTTTTCCTAGTGTGGGATGTACAGTGTGCCAGTAATAGTTACTGCAGCTGATAACACTGTTTTTAGATACAAACCACAGTACCAGTGCAAGTGTTGAACATTTATTTTACTGCTTTAACAATTAATAGAATCACTGATTTGTCATTAATATTGATAATGAAAAATAATTGTTAAATATTTAGCAGATAAAAATAAACTGCTGGTTACAAATAGATTTACATGTGTCCTCTGTTTTGTTCTCATGTTTGCTTTTTTGACCCTTTGTCAAACAAAAGCAATTTGAAGAGGGCTTGGGTAGACGTCATTGAAACTTTGATCGATTAGCTGCTGCTCAAGGCAGACATTAACTCATGTTAAACCAAAAATGAAGTAATGATGGTTCCAGTAGGCTTCAGGAATATACAGTATGTACTCCTTGAAGGTCATCAGTTGTGAATAATTCTGTCACCTTTTCTGTATTAGATCTGCTGTATGTAAGCATCATAAATAAAAAGAACAATACTAAATTTAAACCTTTAATAAAGTGTAGTTGCAGCCAGAAGAGATGAATATGTTAAGGGAAAAGAAGAAGACAGTGGCTACAAAAATTGTGCAAATCAGTTGTTGAAGTAACTTGTGCCAAGGTTTGTATCATTATTTTTTAATTTAAATCTCTCATTTTACACCCAGCATCACTTAAAGAACATCAGCGTTTACAATAAATGTATGGTCTTGTGGACAATGTGGACGGGGCCCCATAGAAGGAAGTGTAGATGACTAAAGGGAGAGAAATAAGGAAGTCCATGCATATGTACCATATAGGCCAGTGTGAAATTGACTTGGTATTATTTCTGCCATTTAAAATTAGTGTACCAAATGAAGATTATTAAATCTTCATTCACACACAGCACATTCTGACTATGAGTATACTTCATTTTCAAGTGTGAACAACCGGATTCTCAACAGAGAGACTGGGTGCTGGGTGGAGCATGTGCTGTCAGTGTTACTACAAGAATACATGAGAAACAATAGATTCAGTCCTAGAAAAAATGACTGTATGCATCATTATTCGTGGAGTACACAGAAGACCTATCCAAGACGGATAGCACTGTAAGCTGTATATGGTTAATGTATATCAGTGATAGTCTGCCTTAACACTTACCTCCTCTCTCCTCATCTGTCCCCCCCTGAGCTCTGTCTTCCCTCTCTCTCTGTGGAACAAATATGTAATAATTATATAGATTAATATAGGCTAGTTAAATTTTGCATGTTCTCCCCGTGCTTGCATGGGTTCTCTCCGGGTACTCCATCTTCCTCCCACAGTCCAAAGACATGCAGCTTAGGTTGATTGGTGTCTCTCAATTGCCCTTAGGAGTGAGTATGTGTTTTTGTTTGTCTACATGTTAGCCCTGCAATGGACTGGTGACCTGTCCAGAGTGTACCCCGCCTCTTGCCCAATGTTGGCTGGTATTGGCTCCAGCCCCCCGTAACCCCGTTCGGGACTAAGCGGTATAGATAATGGATGGATGGATGGATAGTTAAATTTTCAGTGGCAATTATAATCTACATTTTTTTTATAGTCGTTGCAAAATTAAGTCCAATCTCTAGTACTTCACTCAACAATGTGAACACAGCCGGACTGAAAGCGAGACATGTCACAGCAGCTGTCAGTCATCAGCTCCTGGTGAGCTGGAAGGACAGTGGATGGACAAACGATTTTCACCAGGTCCACCGACAGCAGAAATAGTTCTCATGTAGGTCTTATGTAATCATAACAGATATCAGTAAAAAAAAAACCTTTGCAACAAAAGATAACTGCGGACCTGGTGATTTAAACAGTAGTATGTAGCGATTAGGCTGCACTCAATACACCAGAGAAATGAGACCTGAATACAATGTGAGGGTCCAGGGACGATGCACAGCTCATGATCATGAGCTTGACAGAATTGAGTTCTAGCTGTTCCACAAAAAAGGTAGATAGAGATAGTTAAAGAGAAAGTTTAACCCTTGGCTCCTCTCTCAACTCTGCACAACTGGCCCGTAGAACCAGACCACTAGACAACAGTGGAACCTGACATCTGAGATTTTATAAATACCACAAACCTGTCATGTGACTTACAGATAGAATAAAATAACCTCATCTCAGCCTCCATAACATAAATATAGACAATCAAATGTTTTTAGTAAAGAAAACAAAATAAATACTCACAAGCTTGAACCATTTCTTACTTAGACCACTAGCAGGATTTCCACAATTTGAAGGAAATGACACATAAATAGTGGACCGGCTGCCCATCAATAATCTGTTACCTCCGTCTCTAATTAATGTCTCATTGCTGATTGTTCTGTGTTTGCTGCCTTTGATTATTGACACTGTTGCTCTTATTTTTCCCCTCCAGTTGGATGGGGACACCATGTTCTTGGGAATCACAGAAGCAGGCCTTGAGTTCACCTCCACAAATCAGGTAAGTGTTTGTGTGCAGATATTGCATTGTTCATTTGTGTGCATGTGAGAAAGATATGTAGAGTAGGGTACATCCCAATTCCCTTAACTTTGACTGCTCCTTGATCCTCACTTGACCCAAAGTTGTTCCAGACCACCATCTTGAAGGATACCCCAAAGCTCTTATTCCTGCTCTGAGCAGAATACAAGAGACCATCCTTTGTGGAAGGCTTTTAGGTTCTGATACACCTTTTTATTGGGTAATCACTCGGTGATTGTACTGAATGTGGCACATGAATAATTGATGTTGCACATACTGATGTATTGTTACACGTCAAATGTTACGCACTGGACTACAAATACTGAAAATGCTACATTCAGTAGCATATGAATAGTTACTCTGCACATATGGATGAATTGATTGCACATTATAATATTAAAATCTTACTCAGTGAACAGTAAATAGTCAATATAGCACATGAATAGTGAAACAAGTGACAAGGGTTTCTCTTAGTCCCTGCAAGATCACCTCCAGGTGGGAGATGTGGGGGTGATGACAGTTATAGTTCTGGCAATGAAACTGCACCTTAGTCTAGTTGTGTGTGATTTGAGGCCTGTTTGTCTTTCAGCCTTCCCAGATGGTTGGAGGACAAACAGACTGTGTCCTGGGTGGGTTGGGTCCTTGTTAATGATGCTGGCCCTATTGTGTAATTGGCTAGTGTATACAGTATCGGGCTTGGGAGTTCAGGTCCTAAAACCCTCTGTGCAGCTCCAAGTGGCAACCTCTGAGGCTCAGAAATTCCAATGCAACCTGCAGTTAGCAGTTAACAGAAACCTGCAGTTCCTCGAATAGCCACTTGAGGCTGGCTCCAAAAGCGAGTCAATCCCCATAGACTCCCATATTAAAATGCCCAACCTTACAGAAGAAAGAAACCTTTTTACAGCCTAAAACAAAAACGGTTTTGGTGCCTTTAGCTAATTTCCTCTTCCACGACAACTGCACGGGGGGTGAATATAACTCACCTATTTAAATTATATTGAGGCTAAAAGTTACGCACATTTGAGGGCATGACCGCTTTGAGTGACAGGTGGTAGGATCCTGCCCTGGTGACTAGCTGCTAGCAGTCTAGCGAGCTGCACTCACACTCCACCTCTTTGTCCATTTTTTAATCAGCCAAAATAGGCGGAGCATAGCACTACCAATATGGCAGTGGCCAGACTCAAGCTTCAAAACCGCTCCTTAGAAAACCAATGAGTGATGTCAAGGTGGGTTTATCCATTTTTTATATACAATCATTGCACAGCTTTCACCACACAGATCAGGTCATTGTGATTCTCCTGCGTACAGCTAGCATACCACACTGCTAGGCAGTAGGTAAGGATGCTCTCTGTGGTGCTGCTTGGGAGGTACAAGGGAAGTTTGGCCTTTTTCTGTGTCCTTAAAAAGAATAGCCTTTGATTTGCTTTCTTTATCAAGTGGCAGGTGTTGAGGGACCTTGTGAATTCTTTTGTTATGTGGATGTTATGGCTAGATGTCAGAAATAACAACCGAGGACCCAGTAAATGCAGGACTCAAAGGCTCAAGATAAAAAAAGTATTTTAATCAGTAAGGGTAACAGACAATTATAAGCTGTAGTGTGGATGTTTCAGCCAGTCACGAGCGACTGGACTGCTAGATGAGCAACCCGGGGTAGACGGTGAGTAGAAGCAACCACTAAATTGAGAGCAGAGGAGGAGAGTGAGAAGACTAAGCTGATCAGCAGTGACTCTTTATGGGGGTGATAATGATGAGAACCTGGGTTATGATGAATGAGTGCTTGTTGGGCAGGATACTGAATGGCGATCAGTGCTGTGCAGGAAAGCAGGAGGTGATGAGGTGACCGCTGGCCGGTGCATGGATCTGCTGGCAACGGAAGTCATGGTTCACAGAATGGTTCGGCTGCAGCCCAGCTCTCCGCTGGTGGGGGGGCTGCGCCTCAGTAGCCGAGTCACTGCGGAGGTTCGTACAGCTCAACAGGATCCTCCTAGTAGGTAAGAGGAAGAACAAACAAAACACCAGAGACCCAGAAGAATGCTGTAGGTAACTGGGTCAGGTTCTGGAGGAGCCTTGTCCAATAACGGGGCAGTCTGTGAGCGTAATCTTCTTTCAGGCTCAAAGATACAGTAACTCAAATCTACCAGGAAGAAACTCGAACTGGCGAGGAGACAGCAGCATACACACAGGCTCAGAGGGAGCTAAAAACAACCAGTGAAAACTCAAACTGGTGAGAAGACAGCAGGATTCAATAAAACAGAGACTAGATTCAATTCCCCAGAAACAATAGTTCATACAAAAAAAAAAAATGCCCAAAGGGAGTTCCTTTGCAGAACGCAAATATTGCAGTTCACAGTTCAGTTAACAGTTCAGTTCCTAGATCAGTTCACAGTTCATAAAAATGCACGAAACAATAATGGGATCGCCGAGGCAGAAAAAAAAAAGCAGGTTAGTCAGATGAGAATCTTATGGGATACTTGCAGGACGACGAGAGACCATCTGGTGACGAGAACACACCAATGCTCTCCTTAAGTAATGCTCCGTTGATTGGGAGCAGGTGTGCCCCGCCACCGGGAGTGCACTCCAGCACCTGCTTGGGCAGAGTTGTTGATGGTCCCAGTGCTGGCGGACAAGGCACTGGGAGTGCACAATCCACAGCCATAACAGTGGACTCCAGGAGCCTGATGTCACTGAGCCCCTCTGGTTCCTCCTTGTGTATGAGAGGAGAATGAATGACCTTTTTGGGTTTTCTGATGTCCACAATGATTTCCTTGGTTGTAACAATAAACAGGATCAGTTTATTTTCTGTGCACAACTTGACCAGATGTTGCACCTCCTCTATGTATGCCATTTTTCTGTGATATGAGTCCCACTATGGTGGTGTGCTCAGTGAACCTTACAGTGGTATTAGAGAGGTGAATTAGGGTGCAGTTGTGTGTGAAGAGAGTGAAAAGGGCTGGACTAAGCACACAGCCTTGAGGTGTTCCTGTATCTGAGATGATGATGGAGGAATAGTGGTTGCCTATTCTGACATTTTGTGGTCTGTTTGCTAAAAGGTTCTTGATCCATGGGCAGAGAGAACAGCTGGGAATGCCATTCAAACCTTAGGAAAGCTCTGGTGAAGAACCCTTCTTGAGTTATTGTCATGTAGCTTCACTGTGCTCTACAAAATATTAGTGGAACGGAAAAAACATGTTGCCATTATACCCATGTTCAGAGTAGTTGACACTTTAATGCATTAATAATATTATTTTACATCACATATTTGTTGATGCTTAAGTTAAGATCATGTCCCACTGGCTCTTTGAGGTCACCTTTAGCTGTTTCAGTCTTCACAGTTATTTCCAGTTGCATCAAATCAACTTTTCCTCTCATCCTATTCCACAAATCAATATCACTTACTACACTCAACCTGAGGTACATAAGCAGCATTACAATGATTTTCTATGTCTATGCTTTCTTTTTTCTTACACAAATAGAGAACAGCTTTAGTGCTATGTAGTTTGTTTGATTAGGGTATTTGCATAGATTAATTCATTCAGTAAATTAATAAAACATGTGAAGCTTTTAAAATTTCTGTAATTGAGAGCTGAATTATATAAGTCTTAGTCTTAAGATTGAATCTAGTGTCTTGTGTCACTTAACTCTTATGGCTTTTATATAGTAATGAACATTCAGTCCTAAAACTTGATGTGTTGGAAGCAGGAAAAATGGGCAAGTGTAAGGATCTGAGTGACTTTGACAAAGGCCAAACTGTGATGGTGAGATGACTGGGTCGGATCATCTCCCACGCTGCAGGTCTTGGTGGGTGTTCTTGGTCTGCAGTGGTTAGTACCTACCAACAGTGTCTAAGGAAGGACCAATGGTGAACTGGTGACAAGGTCATGGACGCCCACAGCTCACTGATGATGAGGTTGATCGACTGTAGATTAAACTTTTAACTTCCATTTGTACTTTTCAAAAGAATAAAATTTATTTGAATCTTTGTTAAAATGGTTGAAAATGAGAAATACTGTACATTGGTCTCTATGAAGAGAAAAAGTCAGGGTCTGTAGTGGTGATATCACACCTCGAGTGGTGAGGCTGTTGAATTTGTCTAAAAATCCTCACCACAGTTTTCACTCGTTTTACATAAGTTTTTCACTGAATTGTAGATACATCTGTACTCTTCTTAACAGTAGAACTGTGGAAGCAAATGGATTCACAGAAGATGCACAGTGAGCTGCCGAGTGACACTGTTAGGGTTGCTTTAGTTTTTTGCCATCTCGTGCTTTTGTTTTGGTCCATTTCATCTCACCTCACCTGTTCTTGCTTCAACCCAGTTGCATTCACCACTCATTAGTTTCACCTGTCCCTTGTTATCACTCATTCACAGTCATGTGGTTATATATACTCCTCCCTTCTCTCAGTCTGATACTGGTATATTACTCTACGCAACGCTTTGTTCCTGTCATGTTCGATGATGCTACTCTTCATCCCTGCTACTTTCATATTGCTGTGTTCTCACCACTATTTACCTGATCCTGCTGCCACTTATGAACTAAGGAAGCTGGTCCTGAACTCTTGGCTCTGCAACTCTGTTTGCCGTCTTATTGGCAGTGTGCCTGCATTCTGTTCCATGAGTATGGCTAATCCTGGACAGGATTCTGTACAGGCAGGCCAGGAACACACTGACAAGGGAGATCGGAGCAGCAAAGAAGAGCTACCGGTACTTTGAAAAGCTGAAAGCCCAGGTTTCAGCCAACGACCCCTCATCTGTGTGGAGAAGCCTGAAAACTATCACTGGCTATAGAAAACCCTCCCCCCCTGCTGTGGAGGACTGTCAACTAGCGCAGTGGTCCCCAACCCCCGGGCCGCGGACCGGTACCGGTCCGTGGATCAATTGGTACCGGGCCACACAAGAAATCCTTAATTATTTCCGTGTTATTTATTATCTGAGTCTGAACGATCTTTTATTTTGAAAAATGACCGTATTCTCTCGGTTACAT